CACAGGAGAACCAGAAAGCAGTAGGCTTTGCTTTTAGGCACGTTCACACGCTTGCCGGCCACATCGCACTCCGCTGCGAACCTTTTCAGAAAGCTCTGTAGGTCAGCCTCAGAATATGCCAACGAAACAAGATCGTCTGCAAATATCACCCTTCTCGTCTCGACACTTCCTTTACCAATACACTCATCGCCTTAGCTACTCCTGACTATTCCATCCATGAATATGACAAATGGGAGAGGGGATAGAAGGCGGCTTTCAAGTGCCAACGTAAGAAGATCTCAACTGGACATCATTTATCTGCTGACGTAGCACCTCTTATCATCATATGCTGTCCGGATGATTCGTACCAACTGGCGATCGATTAAATGTGTTTCGAGGCACTCCCGTATGTTGTTGCGTGGGATCTCGTCTAGGTCTACCTACGTAGTGACACGTATGCAAATGCCTATGTTTCTTTTATTCCCTGGCCTTGAGCATTGAAGTGGTGGAAGGATGCAAATGAATATCCAGTCCAAAATGGCACTCGCAAAACTGTCTAGTTCTTTTCCTGGTATCGCACAAGGGCTGTCATCCCCCTCTCCAAAAGGAGCACGAAACGGCGGTAATCAGTTTCGATTTTTGATTAATTGGAGTGGAGGAGCAGAGTCTTGGATTAAAACGGCAGAGTCTTGGTTCCTGGCACGGCCTAAATCTCTGCCGTTTCTGGCTTGTTATGGCTGATGTCAGTAACAAAGATTGCAATCCTTCTAATAAGGTGTACAAAAAACATAATTCAGTTTCAAGGAATTCTGATATGCTCACATGGTTTCGAAGTTTATTGGATACAACCGCTGAAATAACGCGGTTTAACGGTAAAATAACATTTGTCAGAGGTACAGCATACGTGAAACATCGTGAATCACTACGAACAGCAACCATTTCGTTTCTAACATTAGTTAAATCCTCTAATTAAAATGAACATAAGACGAGCTGTAAAGTGTGTGCAGATTAATTTCTGTACTATGATGTACTAGAGATCTTTATAATTACATGATCACATTACATGGTTCGCACGAACAGGTATCAAAGGATCAACCCACTCCCGTGTAGCTGCCGATGTGTTGCAAGCGATGATACCTGTAGAGCTTCTTAATCTTGTCATCTTTCCAACCGTGATACGCTTCAGGCAGGAGGATTACGCAAATGGCACCGGCAACAGTCACGAGGAAACTGTTCGAGATGTTGTGCCCAAAGTTACAGTCGTGGTCGTGGTTTCTG